TGTATACTTTGACAGATTATATTTCCGAAACTAATTGAGTCCAAAAAACACTTTTTGTTCTGAATTTCTACCATAATGTAGTATCATCATAGGAAAAATTGCGGAAATCCGAGAGTATCCCATGAAGCACAGTTTTCCCCAACTACATTCGATAGTTCGGAAACCAGTACCAAAATCACTTCATTAAGAAAGGATGAAATGGAAAAAACCCATTTTGCTATGCTTTTCTTCCACATTCATGAAGTCGGACCCAAAACCATAATTTTCAATGTTGATGCACTGAATTGCGAATCGGCTGTACCAAACGACGATTTCAATTCATCATTATCCAGGTCGGCTGGACCAAAATGTTGGATTTGGTGTCGTTGTGGTGGGCTGTATATTTTGCTCGATTTTTACTTTTTTGTCATTTTTCGTTTATCCTTTCTCTTCGTAATAAAATCCAAAGATTCTGTTGAACTCTACAAATTATTTACTGAACTGAAGTGACATAAATTACAAAAATATGTTTTTGGGAAAAGTTCATGCACAGCAAATTATTCTTAAAACTTTTTCGCAACAATTTAGGTCGACTGAAAAGTTGGGAGAATGCAATTTTTCCAACAGAGACAATTCAATAGTCCTGGTTATCTGAGCTAAATTATAACATACACGTTCATTTGAAAAATATCAACAACAATTTTTTTGCGATTCTATACAGCATTTCTCCTACGTCATATGCCTTTTTTTATTAGAACTTCCAAAATTGCGAAACGGATTTCATTTATCTGGGGATTAATAAATTACTGGAAAAGATGTCATACTATTCGTTGAATTTATGGTGAGCCTAATCCGGATGAGTTATCTTTCCCTGGTCACGCCAAAACATGATTCAGTTCGTGATATGTTTTTTCGTTTTTCAGAGTTTTGTGTTAGCTTCAGTACCAAGTAAGTAAAATGAGGGTGATGATCTCCTACCAGGTAGTAACGGATACATCCATCAATTTATTAAAATGTGCGTTCTAGGGATTCGACGAATGTCGTTTTTGCCTTGTCCTGATTGGCGAAATTTCTAACGGTGACAACCTTAGCAAATCTTTTAAAAAGAAAATGTTTTTAACAAAGAAGTAATTAAAAAAAATTATTAGTTGACTTTATGAAAGCATAATTGAATTGAAATATATAGTCTTTGGAACTATTAATGTGAAGATAAACGCATAATGGGTACTGAATCCTCAAACACAACACCTACATTGGGGGTGAAGATGTCTATAAATATAATATTCGAATTAAAAATCACATTTATATTTGAATCGTTAATAATTCTGAAATATTCGTCGACAGTTAAACTATTGAATCAAACACTGGCTGACACGCTAGTTGAATCTTAGTTATTCCTGAGGAAATAGGTAGGAGAAAAATTACTTGAAAATTATTAGGATTATCAGTAAACAATATTATTGAGCTAATCGGAACGACTATATTTTTTCTGAGAATCTATTTTTCTATGAACTATTGAAAACGAATCCATCTAACTTCAAAATCAATGACTTATGCCACGACCCTAAAAATTGTTGCAAACAAATAAGTTGAATCCTCGCCACATCATCAGAATGGATTATTAAGTTCTATAATGAATTTTATTGTGAAAAAAGTCCACATTTCACATTTCTGTAATTTTTTTGCCACCCCTTTGGTAGTGTGCTTTTAGCATATTCTATCGCACATATGTGATTGCTCATTCGTTAGCCTGTTCAAGAATATCAAAAACGCTGAATTTTCTAGTTGAAAATTGTCAATATTTTCAATACACTCAACAACTGTAGATCCTTTTTGTCAACCCAGAGATAGAAGCTCAGCTACATGACTGTCCCGATGGTTCACAATCAAATTCAACTTCGATCATCTGTGACTAGCCCTAAATGTTTGGTCACAGATGTAAAGCGCTGTTTGGAACCTTTGTGGTAGTAATTAATATTATTTGAGTTCTATCCCAACACCAAACCGTTGTTTTAGCACCTCGTCACGTGTTTCAATCACCAAGTGAGAATCTTCACGTGTCGAAGTGTTGAAAATAACGGTTTGGTGTTGGGATGAAACTCCAGTAATATTCAAAGAGACTACTATCAAACAGGCTCAATATTTGTCCCCAAAACGAAATAGTTACTGATAAGGACAAAAAAAACCTTAGTTTTGATAATGATATATCTGTTTACAGAATGTCCCAAAGTTGATGGCAAATATCCAGTCTACTTTTCGCTACCAGACTGCACCAAATTCTGTCAGTGTTCTAATGGAACACTGTATTTTCATGACTGTCCAGATGGATTGCATTTCAATTCTGTTTTGAATATATGCGACTGGCCACACAGAGCCGGATGCGATCCTGCACGTTACGACAAGGATGGTGATGATAATGATGGTGGTAACGACAATGATTGTGATGATCAAAAATGTGAGATTACTACCGAAAATGCTGAAGTCAATATTTGCCAACAAAATGGAATAGGTACTGAAAAATACAATAAACTAAAGATTCAATATCGATACATCTGTTTACAGAATGCCCCATGGTTGATGCAAAATATCCAGTTTACTCTGCGTTACCAGACTGCACCAAATTCTGTCAGTGTTCTAACGGAAAACCGTATCTTCATGACTGTCCAGACGGTTTGCATTTCAATTCCATTTTGAACGTATGTGACTGGCCTCACAGAGCCGGATGCAATGCTGCACGTAACGACANTCCAAGTATACAGTGATAACGACCATGATTATGATGATCAAAAAAAGGAGATTACTACCGAAAAAGCTGACGTCAATATTTGTCAACAAAACGAAATAAGTACTGAAAAATACAATAAACTAAAGATTCGATATCAATATATCTGTTTACAGAATGCCCCAAGGTTGATGGAAAATATCCAGTTTATTCTGCGTTACCAGACTGCACCAAATTCTGTCAGTGTTCTAATGGAAAACCGTATCTTCAGAACTGTCCAGACGGTTTGCATTTCAATTCCATTCTGAACGTATGCGATTGGCCTCACAGAGCCGGATGCAATGCTGTACGTGACGACACAGATGCCGACAAGGATTGTGGCAAAGACGATAATGGTAATGGTGGAAACGACAATGATTGTGATGGTGGAAATAAGGAGACTGCTACCGAAAAAGCTGAAGTCAATATTTGTCTACAAAACGGAATAGGTAATAAAATAAAAGGCAATAAATTGAAGATTCGATATTGATGTATCTAATTGTAATGCATTGTTTGGAATCTTTTGTAGTAATGAATATAACTGGAGTTTTATCTCAACACCAAATTGTTAGTTTTAACACCTCGATTAAGATTAAATCTTCTTCTTGAAGATGTTTGATATTCCTCTTGAAGATGATTACTTGGTGATTGAAACATGTGTCGATGTGTTAAAAAACGGTTTGATGTTGGGATAACACCCCAGTTATATTCAATGATATATCTGTTTACAGAATGCCCTAAGGTTGATGGCAAATATCCAGTCTATTCTGCGCTACCAGACTGCACCAAATTTTGCCAGTGTTCTAACGGAAAACCGTATCTTCATGGCTGTCCAGATGGTTTACACTTTAATCCTGAATTGAATGTTTGCGATCAGCCAATGAATGTTAACTGTTCTTCTATCAGTGTCTAGTATGTATGAATATATCTTTCATCCGTGTATTAAATGAACCGAATAAAAACATATTTAATTTCTTTTTCATTCATTGCTAATATTCAATACGTTGTTTCAATTACAAAAAATTTCAATATTACGAATTCAAACAATTTTCAAAACTTTCATTTGTGAATATTTCGAAGACTTACATATCTGAACGTACGTAAGTCCCACAGTGTAGTTTATGAAGTTACCATGGATCGCCATCAAGTAGGTAATGGCTGAATCAATCAGAGATCGTATAGTGATTGCCCAATCGCCTTCTTCTTTTAGATCAGGGGTCTCCAAACTTTGAAGCCTTCGGGCCATAATGATTTTTTCAGTTTGTTCCAAGAGCCAATTTCTGCCCTTAACTATATTTCTAGACTAGGATAGTCGCAAAGTGCGTGACCTAAGCAAACTTACGCTTTTTTTGCATTTCAATTATTATTGTGTATTGTGACACTTAACGACATCTAGTGGCGAGTAGTGGTACTATGTACTATCTTTTTCAGCTACCC